ACACTCTGTAATACTAGAATTACATTCAGGCTTGAAACACACTCAAGACAAAAAGTGCTGCGCATTTCTCACCATTTCTAAACTAAACGAAATACTCAAATCTTACATGATACAATTTCTTCCAACTCATCCCTAGCCTCACTGGACTCTAGCCAACCCTGACCTCCCTTCTGACCCCTTTCTACCTTTGGGTCTTCATGGTCACATTTTCTCTGCCCAAAACACTTTTCCTTTCGTTCATTCTATACTTAGCTTGTTCTCCTTTATCAGGTCTCGATTCAAATGTCTCAACCCTCAGAGAAATCTGCCCCATTATTCTAAAGTGGCATCACTGAGTTAATTAACAACTTCATATCCTATTCACTTTACTTAATGACTTAAGATGACAGCTTTTAGCTATAATGACTCTTAAAAAGTCATACCACTTTTACAACAAATCCTGGTTTTTGTTTTTGTCTGTATTTAGCAAAATGACTTTTCATTCCCAAACACTCTAAATCAATATAGGAAGTGTGATGTTTCATTATTATGATTTCAGGCAAAGGCACACTAAAAAATTTTACTTACCATGATAAGTTTCTAGTCACAGAATATCATATGGAACAAATGTGAATTAAATGCCATGTCTGGGTAAACTCCCAACAATTTGCTTTGCATATGTACACAAAGTGAGAGAAAGAAAAGGTGGTATCTTTAATGGCTCTTTAGTCCATTATGTGCATTAATCTAATTACAAAAACCTTATATGCAAATTGTCCCCATGGAAGTAGGACCAGGAGACTGATCACTCACTATGATATGGACTGACCACAGAAGTGGGGGTGGGGCAGAACAAAGAAAGACCCTGGCCCCCCCAGAAGGCCCCAATAGGCCTGATTACCGGCCAGGCCTAGGGACTCTACCCATGCCAGAGTTTCGTGCACCAGGCCTCTAGTTATTTTTATTAAATTTATTTTGACCTAAAATGGTCCCTTGTTCTATTACTTTTTAAAGACTTTTTAATTGACGTTGTTTTTTAAGAGAGAGAGAGAAAGGAAGAGAGGGAGAGAAAGAAACATCAATGTGAAATATTGACTGGCTGCCTCCTGCATGCTCCCTACTGGGAATGGAGCCCACAACCTGAGTATGTGCCCTGACCAGGAATCAAACCAGCCACCTTTCAGTGCATAGGATGACACCCAATCACCTGAGCCACATGGGCCAGGGCCTGTTCTATTACTTTTAGTTTACAGTTTCAGTTTGAGTGCACAATAACAATGAGCCAATAAAGGGCTGAAAATTGTGCAGAAATAAAAAAGGAGTTGAATAAACCTTCATTACATTCTTTGGGTACAAACTATTTTTTTGCATTTAATTTGTTGCTTATAAAATTTGTTTTCAGTGTTTGATACATTTGTCTACCTGTGACGATTATTCAAGTATCCTGTGCTGAGATGAAACAAACTATTAGTAGAAATAATTTTCTCATTTAATGGCTTTTGATTTGGCAGCAAGGATTTTAAGAATAATTTAAGTTCATTTCATTAAACAAAGGTTAGTTGTATTTCATCAATCACCAACTGTATTCACTCTGGATTCCCATGTGTTCACTTGTTTAGGATCTCTTCTCCCTTACTAGAATGTAGGCAGAATCTTTAACTGTCTTCTTCACTGCTGTAAGACACGATCTAATTTTAAGATCATTCTCACTTCTGGATAAAAAAAGATTCCAGAAGTCAAACATGAAACTGTAACATGTAGTAATCTAGCTAAAAACTAAAGGAGATTTAGAGTGGGGTTTCAGCAGTGGAGATGGAAAAAAATGTTTTGAGATATATCAATATTTCAGAGAAAGAAATGACCAATTAAACTAGACTAATCAGTAAATGACTAATTAATAAATGACTAATTAGTAAAGGACTAATTAGGAGTCAATTCAGATTTTAGCCTGAGCTGACAGTGGTACCACTGACTGAAATGGGTAAAGCAGGGAAGAACAGATATGAAGGAAAGGCAGAGACAACAGGATTTCAATGTTGGACATACTAAGCCTGGGATGCTCATTAGGCATCCGAATGGAAATGTCATAGAGGCCACAGGCTACCAAATCTAGAGCATAAGAGATACAATGAGTGAGGGCTAGAACTTCACATTCAAGAATCATCAGCAAATAGTTACCATTTAAAGCCTTTGGGCTGAATTAGGCTACTGAGAGAAAATAAAGACAAGGGAGAGAAGGGGGTTGGGGATAGTCAACAAGATAAACAGGCTTCCCTCTACTAATCTCCACCCTTATTAACAAATCCACTAAAGTATTTTTCTTTTTCTTTCTTTTTTTAATATATTTTATTGATTTTTCACAGAGAGGAAGAGAGAGGGATAGAGAGTTAGAAACATCGATGAGAGAGAATCATCGATCAGCTGCCTCTTGCACACCCCCTACTGGGGATGTGCCCGCAACCAAGGTACATGCCCTCAACCGGAATCGAACCCGGAACCTTTCAGTCCGCAGGCCAACGCTCTATCCACTGAGCCAAACCGGTCCCGGCAGTATTTTTCTTTTTTAAAAAATATATATCTTACTGATTTTTTACAGAGAGGAAGGGAGAGGGAGAGAAAGTTAGAAACATCAATGAGAGAGAAACATCGATCAGCTGCCTTCTGCACACCCCCTACTGGGATATGCCTGCAATCAAGGTACATGCCCATGACCAGAATCAAACCTGGGACCCCTCAGTCCGAAGGCCAATGCTCTATCCACTGAGCCAAACTGGTCAGGGCCATTAAAGTATTTTTCAATGACAGTATATTTTCATCAAAAACATCTGGCTGCTTGGCTGGTGTGTCTCAGGGATTGAGCAATGACCTATGAACCAGGAGGTCACAGTTCAATTTCCAATTGGGACACATGCCCAGGTTGCAGGCATGGTCCCCAGTGGGGAATGAGCAAGAGGCAGCCCATCAATAGTTTTCTCTCATCACCGATGTTTCTATATCTCTCTCCCTCTCCCTCCTCTCTGAAATCAATAAAAATATTTTTTAATATATTTTATTGATTTTTTACAGAGAGGAAGAGAGAGAGAGATAGAGAGTTAGAGACGTCGATGAGAGAGAAACATCAACCAGCTGCCTCCTGCACACTCCCTACCGGGGATGTGCCCGCAACCAATGTACATGCCCTTGACCGGAATCGAACCTGGGACCCTTCAGTCCGCAGACCAATGCTCTACCACTGAGCCAAACCGGTTTCGGCAATAAAAATATTTTTTAAAACAAAACATCATGACCAATTTCTATACCCCAATATATATATATATATATATATATATATATATATATGCATTACAGGTTTTAACATTCACGTTTGACCATATTTATAATATTCAGAGCATAATCTCCAATACAAAAATATCTCTGAAGACTCCCCTAAGAGAAATAAGTGGTAAATACTAACCACAAACTCCTTGTTTATGGAGAGATAAACAAGAGAAAAAGAAAAAAAACCTTAAATGATAGGGGGTAAAATAATCTTCTATTTTGAAAGTAATAGAAATAACCTCACAAAATAAAATGACAGCACTTTCAAAATAAACCATACCAAATAATAAATATTTATTAATATATTTTTTACAGAGAGGAAGGGAGAGGAATAGAGAGTTAGAAACATCGATGAGAGAGAACCATCGATCAGCTGCCTCCTGCACACCCACTACTGGGGATGTGCCCGCAACCAAGGTACATGCCCTTGACTGGAATCGAACCTGGGACCTTTCAGTCTGCAGGCCAACGCACTATCCACTGAGCCAAACCGGTTTCGGCCCAAATAATAAACATTTTAAGTTTATAATATCCATTACACTCTTTTTTCTTAGAATTGTAACTACCAAGTTTGGAATATACAAGTGAGAATGCACTGTAAATGGTATGAAAACACAAGTCTTAATTTAAGGAATTTTTACAACTCTTCATCTTCCTGCTGTTTTTGGTTTCTATGGAAATGGACAGAGGTAACTGCTGAGAAAATAAGGATAAGGCACTTAAAACACTTCTATTCAGAGGAGTGATAAACAGCTGGCAGTCAGGGTAAGGACCAGTAGTGCTAAAGTCAATTTATGCTTCTGGAACTAAGTTTAGATTAAAGTAGACACATCTTTTTAACACTAATTTCTCACTCCATCTGCCTTCCCTACAACAAAACAAGGTTCAATCTTGGTTTAATCCAAAGGGGGGGAAAAAAACACATTATATTTATTAGAAACTACTTATCCTATTATTTAACTATACAACTTATATACCAAATTATTTCTCCAGCATCATTTACATAGTATTGAATTAATCACACTCTCTTTAATATGAACTTAATTACTTAGGTGAAAAACCATCTATACTATCTTTTGAAATGGAATATATTCTTTACATGTAGACTAGTTAATAATTAAAGACTGAAGTCTAGGTAAATGGTACCGAATAAAACCAAATACAATTTAGTATCCTTACAAAAAATAGAGGAACTACAAAATCAAATAAACGCCACATATTAACTTCAACTTTTAATTCAGAAGTCAAAGATAATTATTTATGTTGGCAAAGTTCCTATGTCTGTGTTTCTTCACCAGTGTCATCACTGGTAGTCTACACATAGGTATAATAGAGCCCATCAACTCCACAATTTCTAATAAAAACAATCAAGTAAAACAGTTACTATGGGAATAAAAAACATATTCCACTCATTAAACATGGAGGACAAGAAGGTCACCATATCTTTAACCCAGAAGATACAAAACATAGGCAAAAGAACAGGATCATTTTGCACGAATGAGTACACCCATTAATAAATTTTCATATTTCAAGTAAGTGCAAATGGCCAGCAGGATATAATGACATTGTTATATCTTAACTAAGTTTTAAGCCACGAAATCAAATCTGATGTAACAGTTGACTTGCAAACATATTTTAGTGTCTAAAAGTTTGTTAATAATCTTAAAAATGTTTAAGAACTAGAATAATTTAATTATTCTTACCTTTGCAGACACTCAAAATCATACCGCCTGAATTTTGCACTTCATCAAATTTGGCAAATATCGTTTCTAATCTGGGAATAAAGAATAAATTTTGTTTGTTTTATATACACTTTAATGAGGAACAATTCCTTTCACCATATCCCTGAGTGAAAAAATAATTCCAGGAATTTAGTTAGTTCTATACAACTCTCTTTTACAATGAACTCACTTACTGAAAAGAAAGACAAAACCCATCTCTCTTCACTTGATAGAACCAGCCAGACACAGATAGCACTCTCCACACTTGTAGGCATATTTGTAAAATGGTAACTTTAACACAAAGCGGTTTCCCATGTTTCATCCAACCCAGCAAAAATACTTCAGTTCCAACTTTATAATGAACCCACTCAGTCACCAATACACCCTTAAAAGTACACAGAACCATGTTAAGGAAACATAAAGCCAGTGAATTGAACTGGGCCCATATAAAATAAGGAATTTAACAGACAAATGCTGTGTGTGTTCTGACTGCTCCAATGAGCAGAATATGACCACTATGAAAAAAAGAATATACTTTTCAAACAACTACAATATTCAGGATAATATTACATAGAATTTATTATATTGAATTGACTATACTGAATTCTTGCGGATAAATGCTAGATGGAAGAGGTCAATGGTTAGTGGAAAAATCATCTGAAGAAATGGGTAAAGCAAAATTCATTCATATCAGAAATATGTCCAGTATTTTGAAGATTCAAAATACTACCTATAAAATAAAGAGGCCATGCACTAAAAGAGTAGAAAACACTCTGCATGGTTGAAAAATTCAATTGTACACACCTTGTACCTATGTAGTCCTTCCCATCCTCTACCACCTGGTTAGAGAACCATCACAGAGAAAACTGACAAAAGCATAACACAGAGGAAAGAACTATGGACTGAGAGTCAGGAAGCCTTCAGCTTCTCATCATCTACTATGGGTCTCAGAGTCATCATTTGCCAAGTGGCTAGCCACTTAAGAGAGAAACCACAGGTAAGAATAGGATTAATAAGCTGCTGGTGTATTTCAATAAGGATATTAAAGTATAAGCTATCCACATATGATAAAATCCCTACGAGGCTAAAATTACTTATAAAATATAACTTGAGAAAGGAATATTGTAGGCCAATTTTATTTTGAGCATAAGGCAAAAATCCTAAGCATATATGCAGAATTTAATTTATAACAAAAGGAACATTGAAGAAAAATGTTTTTAATAAATGGTACTAGGTCAAATGGATATCCATATGGGGGAAAAATGTATCTGAACCTCTATCTCACACCATTAGAAAAATAACCCATGGGTATAATAAACCTAAGCATACATAAAACTTCAAAACAATTACTCAGAGAATGTCTTCACGATAAAGCAGACAAAGATTTTTTAAACCATACACAAAAATGTGTTTAATCATAAAGGAAATGACTGAGAACTACATTAAAATTAAGACCTCTGCACACCAAGGGACATCAAGAAACTAAAATGGCAAGTGACAGGGTAGGAGAATATATCTGAAGTGTGTGTGTGTGTGTGTGTGTGTGTGTGTGTGTGTGTGTGTGTGTGTATATATATATATATATATATATATAGCTAATAATGGGCTTATATCTGGAATGCATTTGAAAAAGTGCTAGCAATCAATTTTTAAAAATAACAGACGACCCATGCTGGGCTGGCATGGTTCAGTGATTGAGTGTCGACCTAAGAACCAGGAAGTCAGGGTTTGAGTCACCATCTTGACACATGCCAGGGTTGTAGACTCGATCCCCAATAGGGGGTGTGCAGGAGGCAGTCGATCAAGGATTCTCTCTCATCCTGGATGTTTCTATCTCTCTCTCCCTTCTTCTCTGAAATCAATAAAATATATTAAAAAAATAATAAAATAAAATGACAGACCACCCAATTTTTTTAAATGGGCAAGAGACCTGAAAACACACTTTAAGAGAACATACCCAAATAACTAATAAATTTGAAATGGTGCTCTTCTTTTTTTCTCTTTCTTTTACATTTTTTTATTAAATATCTGGGTACATATTTTATCATTGACCCCCCCCCTCCCTGGTGCTCTTCTTTATCTGTAATCAGAAAAATGCAGATTACAACCATATGAGGATATATAAATCAGAAACTTAAATTACTAAGAGTAACAATGCCAAGTATCAGTGAAACTGTAGAATAATGGCAACTTGCAAACAGTGCTAGTGAGAATATAAATAGGTACAACCAGCCTGGAAAACTAAAGGTAAATATATCCCACTACAGGCCCGATGCATGAAATTCATGCAAGGGCCTTGGCACCAGCCCTCGCCACGGCTCCCGCCCACTATGCGGCTTTGCCTGCTGTGGCTTTGTCTGGAAGGAAGGACGTCAGGTCGGAAGGATGTCCAGTCTAATTAGCATATTATGCTTTTATTATTATAGATGGCCCAAAATTCCACTCAGATATATTCCAAGAGAAAGAATACATTCATATACCAAAAGACAAGTGCAAGGATGCCTTGAACAGTACCTACACTAATAAAAGAATAACATGCAAATTGACTGTATCTTCGCGATGCCCACCAGCCAATCAGGAGTATGCAAATTAACCCAACAAAGATGGTGGGTTAATTTGCATACGCAGGTGCCGAGTGGCCAGGGCCGGGGCGGGATGCTTGCGTTGTCGCAGGCGTTGCACACCACCCCATCTGCTCTGGGCCTCTGGGCAGTGTGGGAAGGCTGAAAGGTGGTTCTAGGCCAGAGCAAAAAGGTGGCTCCGGCCAGAGTGAAGGCGGTGCTGGCAGTCAGTGGAAGAAAGGCCCTTCTTGCACGAATCTTCGTGCATCGGGCCTCTAGTTATTCATAAAGCTACAAATTAAAAAACAACCCAAAAGTCTACCAACAGTATGGAATAGTCAAGTATGGCCTACTCACACAATGGAAAACTATAAGGCAATGAAAATTAACAACTATAGCTGAACCCAACAATGAAAATGTATATTAAAAACATAATATTAACTGCCTGACCGGCGTGGCTCAGTGACTGTGTTGGCTAACCTCTGAACAAGGAGGTCACAGTTCAATTCCAGGTCAGGTTGCATGCCTGGGTTGTGGGCTGAATGTGGGGCATGCAGAAGGCAACCAATCAATGATTCTCTCTTCATTGATGTTTCTCTCTCCCTCTCCCTTCCTCTCTGAAATCAATACAAAAATTTATTTAAAAAACCCCACAAAACCATATTAACTGAAAAAAGCCAGATATAAAAGAGTACATACTATATGATTCCATTTATATAAAATTCAAAAATGGGCAAAACTGAACTATGGTGATAGAATTCAAATTGTAGTTACCTTTCAGGAAAGAAAAGGGAAAGATTAAAATGAATTTGGGGAGGCTTCTGGAATGTTGTAATATTCTACTTCTTTACCTGCATGATGCATACATGGGTGAATTCACTTTGTGATTATTTACAGAGCTTCATACTTATGATTTATGTATTTTTCTGTATGGGTGTGATATTTGAATAAAAAATTAAAATTAGCCCTGCACACAAATCCGTGCACCAGTAGCTCTTTGTGGGACCTGGCCACTCCATGCCCGCTGCTCAGCGGCTCTCTGTGGCCCAGAAGCCCATCCGTGGGCCACTCATGCTGCCTGCTCTCAGCAGCCATCCACCCCAGGACTGGGAGATTCCAGAGGGGGGATGAGAGATTGGGCACCGCCATCTTGTGGCAATGGGTGCCGCCATCTTTGTGATGGAGTGATGGTTAATTTGCATATTACCCTTTTATTAGATAGGATTGTATTCTTTTCCATGTGAATGACTGTAAAACTACTTCTGCTCTACCCTGTATATACTCTCTCACACACAAATATATGTGGTAACATGATTTCTTTCATCCACTTAAAATAGAATATTTTCAAGTGAAATTCTTGTTAGCCCTCCAAGTAGAAAGCAAATTAGTGAATAGGTAAGCAAAATATTTATGTATTGGACAACCTTATCACCAAAAAATAATTAGCACTTGAAAAACTCTTACATAGTAAAGGACAGCCAGATATAATATTTATGATAACAGAACACACCACCACCTGTGAAATAGTTTTGCTCCTTTTAATACCCCCTGCCAAAAATCTAATCAAGTCTCCAGATCCAACTACCAATTTACAGAATATAAAACAGAAGAAATGTTAAACTGCACCACAAGAAATAATTAACAATACCCAGAATATGGGAAACTTTATAGGATAAACTACCAGGCATATTAAAAAAACAAAATACAAGGCAAACAAAACATAAGTGCGGGGGCTACATGAAGATTTAAAAAGACACAAAACATATCAACTAACTATTGGACTTTATTTGGATACTGATTCAAACAAACTGCCAAAAATACATAGGTACTTATAACATTTGAAAAACAACTGGAAATTTGAACCTTGACTACATATTTGATTTTACAGAATTACTTATAAAGAAACTTAAGGTATGAATATAGTATTGTGGTTGTAATTGAAAAAAAAATATTTCTCCCCCTTAGAAATATATTAAACTAGAGGTCTGGTGCAGGAGATTTGTGCATAGGAGGAAGGGAGCAGTTTCCCTCAGTCCCAGCTGCACGCTCTAGTAGTCTGGGACCCCTTGGGGGATGCCCCCCGTGGGAGTGCCCCTCAGCCGTAAGCCAGGCTCACTGCTCCGTATCGCTGCCTGAGCGGCACTCCCCCTGGGGGAGTGCCCAGCCCACCAGGGAGCAGCTCCTGCGTTGAGCATCTGCCCCCTGGTGGTCAGTGTGTATCACAGTGATGGGTCATTCTGCGGTTCGGACGATTTGCATATTACCCTTTTATTACTATCTATAATAAATAAAAATGTAATATGCTAATTAGACCAGATATCCTTTCTGATAACCTTCCAGACAAAGCTGTCGCAGTGGGACCAAGGCAGAGGCAGCAGCAGGGATGGTGGGGGGCCAAGCCCCTTGCACGAAATTCATGCATAGGGCCTCTAGTATAGGATAATTACAGAGGAAATGTTATGATGAACTGGATTTGCTTTAAAATAATATAGTATAAAAGTAAGTAGGTAAGGGTATAACATACAAAACTGGCCACAGCTGTTAACTGCTGAAGATGGGTAGAGGGTACATGAAGGTTCATTGTACTATTGTGTTTGAAATTTTCTGTAATTAAAAGTTAAGCCCTAGCTGGTTTGGCTCAGTGGATAGAGCGTTGGCCTTTGTACTAAAGGGTCCTGGGTTCATTTCCGGTCAGGGCACATGCCTGGATTGTGGGCTCAATCCCCAGTAGCGTGTGTGCAGGAGGAAGCCAATCAATAATTTTCTATCATCATTGATATTTCTCTCTTTCTCTCGCTCTTCCTTCCTCTTTTGAAATCAATAAAAATGTATTTAAAAAAACATATTTAAAAAATCTTCCAGGTTCCCCTTAAAATGGAGACTAAAATTTCATTACAAAAAGAAAACATAATTGGAATAATGTCTTAAATAAAAATATAAACTCTAAGAAGTAGTATAGAAAAAAGTATCCTTAAAAAAAAAGTTCTGTTACACTGGAAGCTCCTCACGAGGAATGTTATTAACTTAACTGCTGCTCTTCTACTCATTCAGGATCTTCGTTTTATTTCACGAGTTTTTAAGGGTAATGATTGATTCTCATATAGTTTTCTGTTAGCCAGTATCTTGTATAGTACCTTTCAACAGCAGGTACTCAAAAAATAATGAATGGATTATTCTTTTTATTAAATCCTTACTCAAGCCATCTTCCAAATTATGACCATACTGCCTGGTATCAAAGATAGTTATTTACATCCTTGTCTGGGCGGGATCAGTGGGTTGGAACATTGTCCCATATACCAAAAGTTTGTGCATTAGATTCCCAATCAGGGTACACACCTGCGTTATGGGTTCGATGCCCAGTTGGGGAGCATACTAGGCAGGGGACAGGGGTTGTGGCAACCAGTCATGTTTCTCTCTCTCTAAATAAGTAAATAACATGTGGGTATAATGAAACAGTGTCCAAAAAGATTATAGGGTCTAAAAACTTTTTTTTTTTTAATATATTTTTATTGATTTGAGAGGAAGGGAAAGGGAGAGAGAGAGAGAAACATCGATGAAGAGAAAGAATCACTGATTGGCTACCATCCTTAATCAGAATCGAACCCTGGACCCTTTGGTCTGCAGGCTGACCCTCTATCTACTGAGCCAAACTAGCTATGGCTAAGAACTTTTTAAGTGGTGATAAGTAATGATTGATTCTTATATAGTTATATAGATTCTTATATATCCTCTTGTATCTTTTGAATTTCAAAACATTTCAAAAAACTGAATCCATTTCAATGAACACATAAAATTAAAACTTTAAAATCAATGGCAAAAATTTAGTAAGACTTACCTAGCAGGGGGAATTCCTCTCTTAGAAAGATCCACTCTTACTTTCTCTCCCACATGTCTATAAATTTCCACTATAGCCAATATTGCGGCATCTCTCACCTGCCAAAGAATTCAGAACTTTACAAAAAATATATGAGGTACAATAAAATACTTCACATCAGGTAACATTACACAAGAAGACAAACTTGAAGCTCCAAAATGGTTTTAATATCTCTAAACTCCTAAAAGATTCTGGCAGGTTATTAATAACAAAAACAAAAACAAAAAAACAAAAAAAACAAAACCACAAAAAAGTAAGAGGAATGCCAAGAAACCTCTAGAGAAACCTTATAAAAGATTTTACAAAAATCTAAAAAACATGTAAATAAAAGTTACTAAAGTGGCTTTTAAAAAGTCTTCTTTTTGTAATAAGATTGTATAAGCACTGCCAACAATGAATACAAATCATTATTACGGTTAATATATTTTCCAGCTTTTCAAGAATGTGGCCTGGTCCAGGCTAGTTTGGTTCAGAGGTTAGAGTGTTGGCCTGCAGACTGAAGGGTTGTGGGTTCCATTCCATTCAAGGGCATATACCTCAGTTGCAGGCTCCAACCCCAGGCCCTTTGGGAGAGTGCAGGGGACAACCAATTGATATGTCTCTCTCACATTGATGTTTCTCTTCTCCCCCTCCCTTCCACTCTCTCTAAAAATCAATGGAAAAAAATATCCTCGGGTGAGGATTAGCAACAACAATAAAGAATATGGCCTGAGTGCAAACAAATATTTATACACCAATGTTCTCAATATCATTTATTCAAAGTAGCCAAAAAGTGGAAATAACCCACATATCCATGCATGAAAGAATGGATATTAAAAAGTGGTGTATATATATATATATATATATATATATATATATATATATATGCATGCAATGGAATAGTATTCAGTCTTAAAAAGGAAATTCTGACACATGCTGCAACATGAACGAACCTTGAAGACATTATACTAAGTAAACTATGCTAGATGCAAAAGTACAAATATTGTATGGTTCCACTTTTCTGAAGTTACCTAGAGTATCCAATTCCTATGGAGAGAAAGTAAAATATAATTGTGAGGAACTGAGGAGTTGGAGGGAATGGGAAGTTACTGTTTAATGGGAAGACAGTTTCTATTTGGTAAGATGAAAAAGTTCTGGAGATAAATGGTGGTGATGGCTGCACAACAACGTGAGTGTACTTAATGCCAATAAACTGTACACTTTAAAATGGTTGAAACAGTAATATATTTTACCACAACTAAAAGGGGGAAAATGTGGCCTAAAGACAGGAATTTGGAAGATAGCTAGCTCTAATTCCCCTGCAGAGCTCACTGTCAGAGAGCAAATGAAGAGACAGAACTCTTTACAACCTCCAGAGAAGCTAGCTGGGGACTAAAAGCAGGGAAAACCTATGCAGGGTATTTCCAAATACCAGCTGTGCCAAAAAAGGTCACAACTAAGATTCAACTCTACTAGAAGGAATGGGATCCAGAACACACCCCTGTATTATGCCTACAGTATATGAAACTCAGGTAAAAAAATTTACATCACTGGCATAAATTCCCTTTGTTAAATATGGTTTTGACTGTTGCAAAAAAGTTGTTGTTATGACACTCAGAAATAAAAGAGAGCTGACAACCTGTTCTCACAATTAATACATATAATAAAACTACAAAAGGGAATCCAAGTTAACTGTTACTCAATTTTTCAAACTCAAGAGTTATACTTTAGCCCTGGCCAGTGTGGCTCAGTGGGTTGAAGCATCGTCCCAAGCACCAAAGGGTCAAGGATTCCATCCCTGGACAGGGCACATAGGCATGTTGCAGGTTCGATCCCCAGTCCAGGTGCATATAAAATGCAAGTGATGAATGATTTTCTCTCTCTCTCTCCCTCTCTCTTTTCTCTCTACAATTAATGAAAAACTTATCCTGGGGTGAAAATGTAAAAAAAACAAAAGGATTATGGTTTAAAAGTCCCATCTATCCTTAATAATAGCTAATGACTCACAAACTTAAGCAACTTAGTGAATATTATATGTACTTAAAAACTAGCTTTGGTGGACTTTAAAGGAAAAAAATGAGGTGAAATCTTAACTTCACTAACCCCTTTCTATCCTTTCTCTTCTTTTGCTTTTTAAAATATACTAAGAAGGGGACATCTGTAATACTTTCAATAATAATGATAAATTTAAAATAAAAATTAAATTAAGAGCACTAGCAAAGAAGCCGTAGCCAAAAAAAACTAGTCAACACTTAAATATAAATATAATTTTACCTGGCTGTTGGAATCTCCAAATAGGATACACAAATGTGGTACCAACTTGCTGAGGACTAGTGGTTGAGCTCCAAAACTAAATATAATTTGAAAATATAAAGAGAATTTGGTTTTAATCGAACAGTAAACAAACATCCTTTGCTTTCTTCTTGTCTGTATTAATAAGACAGATATGGTAGAGAGCATGGGCACACGTTATTAAAACATGAAGGTATGAGACACGAGCAAAAACTAATTCTAAACAATGTCAAATATGCAAACTTGAGTAATCATGACTGACAATGAAAACTGTCAATACAAGTTCCAACAGAGCAAAATGTTCAACCAATGGCACTCTTAAACCACACAAATTCTCAATGACTCAAGAAAATTTGAGTTTTTGTTTTAAAATAGTGATTTTTTTTTAGACTCTGGATCTCAAATTTGCATTCCAATAAAATCTTTATTTATGTATTAATTTTTGGTGAGGTCATGGGTTGAAAGCAAATGACAGGAGAGCCAAAAAACACAAAAGTTGTGCAGACTGAATGCACTTACAAGCTCTAGATGGCAGAAAGGACCATAGAGGAATAAAAGAAAATAAATGAAGGTATAGTTAGAGAAAAGGAAGTAACATTACAGGAAAAGTTGAAAGCTACTATATATGACCTATCTTGTTGCACAGAACTTAAAAAAATAATCCAGAAAAAGAACAAAACTACAATTTATAATTTCTTCAGACTGGAGCTCTCAGCCCTGTGGCATCTGTGCTAACAGAACTATGCACACAGCTACAACATTCACTGTCCAGTTACCTGGGAGTCTTATGCAGTCTATGATTTTCAAAACCACCCACATTGTTCTAGAAAGCTCAGGTTGGAAAATGGCTACAATATCTGAAATACCACTGAATTAAAACCAGTTCCAAACTAGGTCCAGAACAGAAGTTATATAAATATATATATATATATATATATATATATATATATATATATATTTGTTATATGACCATCTACTTTGGATATCAACTATTAATATGCTAAAGAAAAAGAAGAAAGACACTTCTTGTAACTAATAAATTTAAATTATCAACCTGAAAGATAATATGTACACAAAAAATTATCAAAGGTATCAAATAAAATAAAAACTCTTGTATTTGAGATCAATTAATAACTACTTAAAATTTATTTCCATAGCTTTCCTCAAGCTCTGTGAAATGGATATTACTTTTTAAAGAAAAATGAAAAACATAGGCAGCTGTTTTCAGTAATCATAAAACTTACATGTTTAAGGTTTCAATAAGACATAGACACACGCCTTCTCGAGATCGAAAATTCTTGTGCTTAAACCCAGAAGCCAACTGTTCCCAAATGTGCTATTTGAAAGAAAAGTAACATATATAACAAAATATTAAATTACTCATATCAAACTTACCAATCTTATTGGTAAATGAATTTTCCCCTTAGACTATTTACTTCTCTACAAGTTTTTCTAAGCCAAATTTTCACTCATGTTGCTCTCACCCAATTTTTAATCTTAATTATATTTTTAGTTTTTAATTCATATATTTCAATTATTAAATTATTAAATTAGTCTCAGGAAAACTATGTCCAACATCCAAAACATTAGAATTTTCAGGACAGAATTTGTTCTAAGCTTTAGAAATCTTCAACAACAATGCTACCATTATAAGTCCAATAGTCCAGTAAGCATTTAAAAGGTCCAATGTTGCTTAGCAACTACTACAGACTGTCACATGGAACAGGCTTTTTCAACATTTTAGAAATCAGGCTTTTCTCCTTTTAAGATCAGATCCAAATACAGAAACATATTTGAGCATGTCATTTTATTTATATTTAACCACTATAATTTATTTTAGAAAAAGCAGAGATAAACCTATACAAATAATCCAAAACAATTACACGAGTTTGGTATTAAAAAGAAACCCAACTTTATTTTTGGTATAAAAAGGAACCCAACTTTATTTTTCCAGCTATCTGGCCAATTGTCCCAACGAATTCTTTCTCTATATTTAGAAATATAATTTATTAAATTCAAGTGTGTACACATACTCACACACACACCTTTTCCTGGACTCTATTCTTTTGAACTCTGTATTCAGTTCTACTAATATATTTCTCTCTTCTCAAACTCTCCATCAAACTTTCTAGAAGGTAACTTGGAATTTTACAAAACAGAACAAAACAAAATAAACTTGACTCTGTAATACAATTTCTGGAACATTATTCTATATGTATACTTACAGCTATGCCCGAAGATACATGTACAAGGATATTTCCTATAGTACTATTTGTGATAACAGCATGTCAAAAACAAGTTAAAATTTTAACCATTGAACAAGGATTGAAGGTTACCCACCATACTATTGACAAACAAGGACTTTGGTTAGGTCTGGGGAAACAGTTTACTTTTACAAAGCGTTTTTATAAATCATGTAAATTATAATTTTTAAATTGTATTTTGTGTATTGCAAATTCTGATCTTTTTCTACTTAATATGGGCTACTCTTTGAATGTTTGTATACATGTCAACTAATTTTTGCTCCTTTCAAAACAATTACACGTAAGGGCAATTTTTTTTACTGTATTCATAAAATACAGGTCACTGTTATAAACTATATATACCTTATACAATTAATAACTACCTGTTATTATTAAAATAAAAAAATCTCTTCCTGTCTTTTAAGAGTTGCAGAAATTAACATAGCATTCAATATTTCTCAAAATAAGCTTTTGCACTGAACATTTTATAATAATGCAGGTAAGAAAAAACTGAAAATCCTAAAAAATAAGTTATCAGTATACTGTCAAGTCACTAAAATCTCCAAGTTAGCTTTTTTAAAAAGCATTTGAGTAGGAAAAAAAAAAAGTTAAATATAGATATTTAATCTTAAATTTCAACTTCTTTAAAGCATTAGAAACAATTAATTGTTTAAAAGTTCAGCTTTCATGTTCGCTGGGATTACCATCTAACCTTACTGATATTTCATCAATAGTTAACAAAATAGGAGTTTTAAATGTAGGCCTACCATAGGTGGTGCTACTTGGTCCATTAACTTCAAGAGCAGAATCTGAGCTTCATCACGAATTTTATCTTTGGCATCTCCCAGTCTGTCTACTAAAGTTACAATAACTAGAGAGAGAGGAAAAAGAATAAATAAGCTATATGTTATAAAATTACAAACAGCAATTGTTTTCATAAATTAAAAGATATGAAGTAAGCAAATTGCTTTCACTTCTTTATTCAGGAGTCTAATACAAAATAACTGAGAAGCAAGCTCAACAACATTTAAGGAGAAAAAAAAAAAATCACATTCTTTTTGGTAGGGAATTATTATAGAGTGAGAAGCCAACTATACCAAATGGAGTGATGCCATTCCAATATTTAAGCTTAATTAAGGAAATGATTGTATAAGAAAACAATAAGTTCTCATTATAATCATAAGCCTAATAATGAGGCAACACAAATACCTGACAATTGGAACCATGTAAATCCTTCTCATCTTGCTTAGATGTATTTATTGTTAACACTAGAGAAATTCATAAACATCTATAGAATTAGCTGTTGTCGGACTCTGGTTCTGATAGCTTCTGAGAGGCAGTCTAGGACAATAATAGACCTTCACATTATATATAATTATATACTAAGAACTAAATGATCTTATTTAATTCCTCTGCCTCAATGTAAATAGTCAGTACATTAAACCCCATCTGACCCTCTTTGTGTCTGAAAAATAAGTGATATATAATGCCTAGAATTACTCTCAAATCTAAATACTGTCTGGAACAACTAATAATAGGACCTATTATAGGCCAGGAGTCACAAACATAAACACCTACAGCCAGAGAGGTATGGGAAATACAAAAAATGAACCAGGTCTAAGAACTACAGTATTCCAACCTTGCTGTATTATAATTGACATTCTCAGTTTTGAGGAGACAAGAGGAGATAGGAAGGACTTAGGAACTGAAAAGCTCATGATCCAGAAAAAAGGGAAGCTACAACACAGCCTCAACCAAAAATTAGTTACATGGGGGAATACAAGGTTGGGGTTGCCACATTGGCCAATCTTTCAAAACAAATAATAAATATGAATTTTTGTAAAACTTCCTAATGTTAAACATTGATTCAATGTTTTAAGAAAATACATAAATAAAACATGTTTACAGAGCAACCATTTAAAAACCTATACTATAATAGGATTTTAAGCAGGAGATTGATGTAGTAAAAAATATATATATTTTCAGAAGTTATCCCATAGAGAATGAATTGGAACCAAGCATTAATTTATAAAGTAACAGCCGAAACCAGTTTGGCTCAGTGGATAGAGCGTTGGTCTGCCGACTGAACGGTCCCGGGTTCGATTTCGGTCAAGGGCATGTTCATTGGTTGCGGGCACATCCCCGGTAGGGATGTGCAGGAGGCAGCTGGTCGATGATTCTCTCTCATCGATGTTTCTAGCTATCTATCTCTCTCCCTTCCTTTTTGTGAAAAATCAATGAAATATATTTAAAAAGGTTTTTAAAAGGAACAATAAATACAGAAAAATTCACTAAGATGCTTCTGCAGAAAAAAATAGCTAGATGATAAAAATAAAAGTGGAAACTGGCAAAATTTGGTGGCATACAAAATATGAAGAAAAAAGATGACCAAAGATAATTCAAAAATAAGTGTGATGATACATTATGAGACATTAACTTAATCCATAGGAGAGATTAACAAACATCTGAGGTTACCCTTAAATGTTTCTATATAATTAGAACCAAATCCACTCACCAAAGCACTCCAAAGGTACATGAAGGTCACTCAGGTTTAGAAAATTGGTCAGAGCCAACTCTAATCCTAACTACTACACAAAGCAGAGCATTGTACTGGTATGATGCTCTTCTTTGCAAACACACTGTAAGTAAGCGCTGTTCAAAGTATGGCTGGTAGCCCAGGACCAGACCACAAATTGTCTGCAGCAAGAAAAATTAAGACTGTTTATAAAATAAAGTTTTTAAAACGATCTGACCAAAGTAATTTTGTTTGTTAAATCTAATAATAACAAATTTGGCCTTGTATTTTTTCATTTCATTTTGCTATCACCTATTTTTATTGCATTTTAAAAAATATTGGTCTGCAACAAACGAGCAATGAAAGAACTAGTCCTTCACCATAGAAAGTTTTAAAAGTGGTGCTATAAGTTCAGGCGGGGCTGGTGCGGCCAGGCCCGGAGCAGCGGCTGCCAGGCTGGGAGCGGCCAGGCCCGGGGGAGCAGGCGGGTCGGGTGCGGCCAGGCCCGGAGCAGCGGCGGCCAGGCTGGGAGCGGCCAGGCCCGGAGCAGCAGCAGCCAAGTCCAGAGCAACTAGGTCGGGAGCGGCAGTGACCAGACCCGGAGCAGCTGGTTGTGGAATGAACCAGAGCAACAGAGGCCAGGCCCTGAGCAGCCAGGCCCAGAACAGCTCGCTCCTTGCCGGCCCCTGCCCCACGGCTGCTTCTCAGACATGGCTGGAAACTTTCGTGGGAACTTGAGGGTCTGCTGAATCAAGTGATGAAGGCTTAGATCTGGATGTGTTGAGTTAGTTTAGGACTGGGGTGTTGATCTGTGAGTGCCTTGGGTGGGGCCTGGATGAGGCTGGTTGACCTAGTGGGAAATGTCTTTTGTGCGAAGTGTATCATTGGGCATGTGGAGGTATTATTGATATGAGAAAATGCTAAGTAACTGATTTACTATCTGAAAAGGGATTTTCTATTGGGGAAATTGATGGAAGAAGAGACTGAACATAAACTGCACCTATGGATGAGGACAATGGGGGATGGGGGGGGGACGGAGGGTGGGGTGGGAACCTGGTGGCGGGGGGAAGAAATGAGGAACCTTTATAATAATATGAACAATAAAGATTGATTTAAAAAAATAATAATAAATAAATAAATAAAAAAGTGGTGCTATAAGTTATATTGTAAATTTTTAATATGTTACAAAAAAAGTAAAAATATAGTAAAAATTTTGAAAATATAAAGTAAAAATCTATTACACTATATTAGTAAGTTTCTTGCTTTTGTTTGTCTCAAACAGAATATAATTATCTATTTGAATATTCTTAAAGTCTTTTATGTCCAGGTAAACTATAATGCCATTTAGCAGATCTCTGAATTGAACAAAGTTACACTTTTGCATTTACAAATAACTAATTCTGTTAAACAATAACTATGGAAAAACTCAGTATGTCAAAATCTACATTTTTATTTTATTTTTTAAAATATATTTTTATTGATTTCAGAGAAGAAGGCAGAGGGAGAGAGAGAGAAACATCAACGCGAAGAGAGAATCATTGATCAGCTAGCTACCTCATGCATCACCCACACTGGACATCGAGCCCACAACCCAGGCATGTGCTCTGACCAGGAATTGCACTGTGACCTCCTGGTTCTTAGGTCAATGCTCAACCACTGAGCCACACCAACTGGGCCTACAACGCTTTTTATTTTTTTATTTTATTTTTTAAATTTATTTATTTATTTTTTTAACATATTTTAATGATTTTGTTTGTTTGTTTTTACCCCCCCTACAACGCTTTTAAAATAAATAAAATTAACTTACCCATTGCTACGTAGGACTTAAATCGTGTTGACAATCTGTCCACAAAGGCACTTAAAATTTCCAATCCCATTAATGATATCTACAGAGAGAGAAACAATCTTAATGAATACAAATTACTTATGTATACTTTAATACCAGTTTACGATTGTTAACATACAAAGACCTTCATATAATATACAAGAGGCCTGGTGCACAAAATTCATGCACTGGGGGGGCGAGGGGGGGTGTCCCCCTCAGCCCAGCCTGCACCCGCTCGCAGTCCAGGAGCCCTTGGGGCATGTCTGACTGGCAGCTTAGGCCCGCTCCCCACATCAGTCAGACATCCTTAATGCTGCTGCGAAGGCAGGAGAGGCTCCCGCCACTGCCGCTGCGCTCACCAGCTGTAAGCCCGGCTTGTGGCTGAGCAGCACTCACCCTGTGGGAGTGCACTGACCACCAGGGGGCAGCTCCTACGTTGAGCGCCTGCCCCCCCTGGTGGTCAGTGCATGCCACAGCAAATGGTTGTTCCACCGTTCAGTCAATTTGCATATTAGCCTCTTATCATATAGGATACTATCAAGGTGATGCGGACACTGGAAAGCATCATCCTTCAAAAGGCAAAGGAGCTGTGGTTTTCAGATTCCAAAAAAAGACTTGAAATCCTAGCGCATTACTTAGTTAGCACCTGACAGTTATAATATAAATGCTATTTATTATTCTCTCCATTTTTTTTTTTTAGAATCAACTTAGTGTTTATAAGTTGCAGATAGACAATATAAAAAAGTGAAAATAAAGCTGACAAATAATAAGATACTGAAGAGGTTTATAGGACAGAAAAGGAAAAGGAGAAGGAAAATTCTCATCTCCCTAGGTTAAGGTACTCCTCCAATAATTTACCAGGTCTGTGACCTAAAGCAAAATACATCTTTTCTACAAAATGAGGAAAATAATGATACTGCCTTTATAAGGCCACCTTTTTTAAAAATATATATTTTATTAATTTTTCACAGAGGGAGAGAGAGGGATAGAGAGTTAGAAACATCGATGAGAGAGAATCATCGATCAGCTGCCTCTTGCACACCCCCCACTGGGGATGTGCCCGCAACCAAGGTACATGTCCTTGACCGAAATCGAACCTGGGACCTTTCAGTCCGCAGGCCAACGCTCTATCCATTGAGCCAAACCGGTTCGGCTATAAGGCCACCTTAAAGATTAAAATGAGATAATACAAATAAACCACTCTTAGTGCCTGATGCTAAGGACTCTTTAAATGGTGGTTATTATATTTAATTGCACTTTAAAGGACATTTTATTGTCATAGAACCATTTTATTATTTTTATTTTTTTATATATATTTTATTGATTTTTCACAGAGAGGAAGAGAGAGGGATAGAGAGTTAGAAACACTGATGAGAGAGAATTATCGATCAGCTGCCCTTGCCCGGAATCAAACCTGGGACCTTTCAGTCCACAGGCCGACGATCTATCCACTGAGCCAAACCGGTCCTGGCCATAGAACCATTTTAAATTTTGGGGACTCCTGAAATCACAGGACTGTTCTTAACACAAGTCAAATGCCTGTGTGTGTGTGTATGTTTGTTTGTGTGTGTGTGTGTATGTACACATACTTATTTCCATATTTTTAACCTCTAAGACTGACCTCTCCATTTCAATAAACAGCACCCTCTATTGGTGCACAAGCAAAGCAATTATCCCTAATTCTCTCAACCCTCACACTCATTTTAATGGGAGGTCCTATCTTATCTTCAATCACAATCTTATCTCCAATCACATTCCAAATCTTCTACTACTCAGCATTGCCAATGTGACCAAACCAGCCTTAGCCACCATCTCCTGCTTCTCCTGCTGCTCCTTTTCAGGATTCAGTCTCCACAAAGGAGACACTCCTCTACATAAAACTCTCCATTGATTTAGAATAAAATCTTATATGTCTCTTTCCACCTGCCTCCCCAACTTCATTCTCTTAACATCTCACACATTTGTAAGCTCTAGTCATACTGGCCTTCTGTAAGTTTAACAGAACTAGGGCCTCTGCATTTGCAGTTTTCTCTGCCTATATTTCTTTCATGTCAGTCAAATTTCACCTAACTTCTTTGACTACACAAAATAGTCCCACCACATCCTCATTCTTTCACATCAGTTGATTTAGAAGCACTTGCTACCTGAAATTATCTAATTTGTATACTCATCCATCTTCTTCCTAATAGGATCTCCATGACACTCCAATCTCATTTAAGTCACCCTCTCATGAGGTCTTCAGTGACCAGCTGCATCCTTCCCAACACTCCCTATTCTCGTCACTGCTTTTCTCCAAAGTGAATATCACCTTCTAACATACTGATTTTAGTTATCTATCTTATTTATATTCTTTTCCCCCCACTAAAATCTGCATCCATAAAGGCAAGGATTTCTGTCATTTCCCCCCATTGTATCAGAAGTGCCCAGAAGACTGAGTGCTGCACATGGTAGGTCTTCAATAAATATCCAAATGAGGCTGAATGAATAGTGTTAGTCTTGTTCACAGCTGGATCAATATCTAGAACACCCAGCACATAGTATAGTCACTTCCAATTGGTTGACTCATTGGCAGTTATTAAGACACTCAAATTCTGAGGTGCTATCAAATCCAAAGGAACATTTTATTTTGTTCAGCATAATTTAAAATTTAACTGTAACTGTCTATTTGTGTGTACGTTACAAAATTCGGACACACTTTCTCCAAGAGAAATTTTTTTTTTTTTTGTATCTTGAGTAAAAAATGATGACCTAATTTGAAGCAACCAAGGTTATAAATAACAAGTTAATTAGAATGCCCTCTAACGATGTCAGAAAAGCTTCTATACAGCATTCTGTAGAAAGGAGAGAAATAACGATACTGGAAGGAGAGCGCAGAATTGGTGAATTAATGTCTTTGAGGCAAGTGGGCATAGGATCTAATATGCATGTGGAGGGATTGATATAAGAAAGAAAGAAAATTCGTGCATTGTAACTGAGAAGAAAGTAGGATATATGGGCACAGCTACAAGAAAGTGTATAGATAAGACTATAGGAGACTGAGGCATCTCTTCAGTTTGCTGAAATTGTCTCTGGCAACAGTATCTAGTGAGGAACATGGAGAGAATGTGTAGTAAAGAGATGAGAGCTTGGGTCAGGCGCCTGATGGATTCTAACTCTTAAAACAGTAGTTATAGGGAAAACATAGCACTTGAGTGAAATAGTGCATAGAGACTTAAAGAAAAACTGATACACTGTGGTATCAGAGAAGCCAAGAGTGTTTCAAGAGATGTGACTGCTCAAATGCCATCCACTGATTGTACATCTGAAAAGTGAAATGACCCCCAGCCGGCAGGCACTAAAGAAAGGGAGTAAGCATTACTAAGTTAGCTAGGACAAGGGTCTCAAGGTCTGAGAAGTTCTAAATGTTATTATTAAATGTTACTCTTGCTAAATGTTAAAATGTAGCAGAGTATCTTGCAGGTACAGCTGCAAAGGAGGTAAGTTTGGCAGGAACCTAACAGGGATACTGCAGCCAACCACAGAGAAGGGCATTTAAGCAATGGCTAAGACCCCCTTCCAAGAGACAGAGCTTCGGACATGAATCCGGGCTCCTTTCCTCGGTACAAGTAAATGAAACCACCTTGTGGCAATCTTGTCTCCTCTCCTTTTATTTTTTTTATTTTTTTAATATATATTTTATTGATTTTTTACAGAGAGGAAGAGAGCCAGAAACATTGATGAAAGAACATCGATCAGCTGCCTCCTGCACAACTCCCCTTGGGGACTTGCCCGCAATCAAGGTACATGCCCTTGACCGGAATCGAACCCGGGACCCTTCAGTCCCGCAGGCCGACGCTCTATCCACTGAGCCAAACCAGCCTCGGCTCTTGTCTCCTCTTTGAATTGAGTTCCGAATGCCCTAGCATTACCAAAAAGCTGACTTTCTGTAACAGCCTGGGCTGCAACATAAAATCAATTGTCTAGGTGTTTACATGCCCTTCTTAAAGCGTAAGTAAATCTGGCTTGTTTCTGCCAAAGAAATAAGAATAATCCCCCAAAAACAGAGATTATAACTATGTTAAAATATTTTATTATTTAAAAATATTTTATTTTTTTAAAAAAGAATAATCCCCAAAGAGTAGTGATATATAATTAAATATTAACTTTTTTCCAAAGTTAAAAAGGAGATAGTATATAATGGAGCACAAAGGTAGTAATTTTCAAACTGTTTATTATCCTGTAAAAGTCAACCCTTTCCAAAACGCATAAAATTTCACTATTAAGTCTTCATAATAACCGTAGCATGCCTTTCTTCTCAAGAGGACCGTGTTCACAGTATAGCATATTCGCTGGATTATAACGTATATTACCAAGAAGACTTCACATCATCCATAGGAAGACTGGGCCAGTATTTTAAAGCAACACTGCCCCCAGAAGACTAGAAAAAGTAACTTCTAAAAAGCCTACAACACAAGCTAATTACAGCATTTTTTACCGGGTCTCCCAAAGCAGCTGCATTACAACCTGCCTACTTACTACCGGCTCATCAGAAGCACTTCATCTTTCTTGCATCTCATTCTGTTCTGTATTTATTTATTTTCTGCATCAGCTGACCTGGTTCCATCGCCGAGGCCAGGCCTCAACTGCGTGACACCGGAATGACAGAGAGCATTCTGTCCACAATCAGTAAAAAAAAAAAAAAAGCAAAGGCATCATGCCCTGGAGTTAGCATCTTGTTATTGAGATGTAACTGGCACCCGATTAAGCTCTACACAAGATGCTTTAGAGATGAAGAACTCAACCTTCCAGACACAACATTTTATAGAAGAAAAAGGAAACGGGAGATGAAGGATTAAAAAAAAAAAAATCACTGATTAAAGAGGGATTAACTTGACATCCCTTGGTAATGCCTGGATTCTAACGTCTTACGTCTCGGTCTAGGTAGTGTTTACTTAGGGACGTACAAATGCAAAAAAAAAAAAAAGTCTTCGAGCCCTTTAGGTGAGTTACCACCGATTTAAAAAAAAAAATTAATGATTAAACACTGTGTGCTGATGCCAATCACAGGGAACCGCTGGATTTGTCATTGTTGACGATTGTGGGAAAACTTGGTGGTGATGGGAAGTCAGTCCCCTGCCCCGATCCGGGGAGGCAGGCTCGCCCGGGGGTTCCGCGGGTTCCCGGGATCCCCCTGCCCGGGGTGGCTCCGCGGAACCCGGCGCCCCGAAGGGGGCTCGGCGGGCCGGGCCGGGGCCGCACGTCCGGAATTAAAGGGCCGGCCGGGGAGGGCGTGCCCAGCCCGCCGCGCCGCGCCGCGCCGCGCCGCCGCTTACCCGGTAGTTGCTCGAGCCCACCCAGCCGGTGAGGGCGTCGATCGTCCTGCCCAGGCTCCCCACGTCCTCCTCCAGGTCCGGGATGGCGCCGGGCACGCCGAGGTACTGCAGCAGCTCCTGGCCCACCTGCTGGCGGCCGCCCACGTCCTTCTGCTGCACCTGGGCGCTGAAGTACTCCATGCTGCGGGGCTCCATGGCCGCGGCCGCCCGCCCGCCCGCCGGCCCGCCCGCCCGATCGCCCGGGGCCGCCTCTGGCCGGGGGGCCGCCCAGCCGCCAGTGCGGGGCCCCGCGGGGACGGGCGGGACGCGCCGGGTCCGGGCCGAGGGGCGGCTCGCGGGGCGCGGCGGGCGGCGGGAGCGGCGCCAGGCGCCCAGCGGCCCCCAAACTAGTCAAACTCGGCGCCCCCCGACACCCAGCCCGCTTCAGAGGCCGCGGCCGCCGGCGACGTCAGCACGCGCGTGACGTCAGCGCGACGTCGGCGAGCTTCCGCGGGTCTGGGCGAGGGCTCGGCGGCGGCGGCGGCAGCGGCGGCAGTGGCCGCGGGAGCCGCTGGGCGGATGGGAGCCCGGCCGGGGGGCATCGGGGTGGCACTCCGTCACCCGCTGTCACAGCGCCCTGCCCTCGTCCTGCAAAATATAGAAAGTTTCCCAGTTTTTTCTCGCCTTAAAGTCAGTATTTGGGAAAGTAGCTGGTATTTGGAAGCCCTCTTCCCCAGCCCTACTCCGGTTTTTATTTTTATTTTTGTAGAATACACTCCTTCATTAAAGACACATCATGACCCCTGTTTCCAGCCATCAGCATTACTGAATGGATGGATGACTGTGCCTTTTTTCATTTTCAACTGCGTTTTAGTTCCCATAGAGTAAAACGGACAGATTTTAAGTGTACAGTCCATGAGTTTTGGCAAATGTATTCACCAAGGTAACCCCCTTCCTTCCCCACCCAACGAAGATGTAGCACATTTCCATTCCCCGGGGAACTTCCCAGTCAACACTCACTGCCTCCCCAGGCAATTCTAATCTGATTTCACTATAGGGTAATTTTTTCCCCCCCTGTTCTTTTACATTACATAACTTCAGAGAGTCTACACTTAAATGTCGAAAGTATAATATTACAGAAGTGCCCTTCTTTCCCGGCCCCCCTACACACGCGCGCGCGCGCGCGCACACACACACACACACACACACACACACACACTGACCCCCTCCACCTGCACCCACAGATCCCAGGCCTTCACCACACTGTCTGAGTCTGCTCGCTATGCATATATGCATGTAAATTCCCCGTTAAATGTCTCCCCTCTCACCTCCCCACCCCCGCCTTCCCTCTGAGATTTGTCAGTCTTGTTTCAAGCTTCTGTACTCCTTTTGAGTCGGGTTTCTTTCTCAGCGTAATTTTTTGGGATTCACCCCGTGCTGTTGTAGTGTTTTGTAGTCCCTTTTGACTGCTCGGTATTATCCACTGGATGGAAGCATCACAATTGCTGACTCATTCACCAGTTTACAGACATTTGCATTGTTTCCAGTTTTGTGTAATCATATATAAAGCTGCTATCATCATTTATGTTCAAGTCATTGTGTGGACAATTGTGTTCATTGTATAAACATTCAAGTATAAACATTCCAGATAGTGAAGTAAATTAGGTATGTATGTTATCTTGGATAAAGTAGAGGGGGAATCTTAAGATTCCAAAAACCAGTATGGGCCATTTGCAGATAAGGAAGAACAGAACAAGGCCGGCAATTTTTTGCTAGGCAACGTAGAAACAATGAGACACAGGGGGATTCAGTAAACAGGCCCCTGCTTGACATCTTCCTGCCTGCCATACTCAATTCAGATTAAGCTGAGGTCAAGATTTCTTTCCTGGAGCAAGCTTTTCTATCTGAATCTCTTAGTCAGGAAAGGGGAGAAGAGTCAAAGATACTGAGTCTTTTCTTGGTAACACAGTTTTAAAAAGGCAAAATGTTGGTTCCTTTCAACTGGATTTATTAGTTCTTATAAGTGTACTACAGGCCCAGTGCATGACTGGGCGTCCTCTCAGCTCAGCATGTGCCCCCTCACAGTCCTGGACCCCTTGGGGGATGTCCTTCTGCCGGCTTAGGCCTCATCCCCTGGTGGATCGTGCCTAAGCCAGCAGTCAGACATCCTTCTCCCAGTCTAGGGCTCTCATAGTCTGGAACCCCTCACTCCTTACTGCCTGCCTGCAGTGGAGGCAGGAGAGGCTCCTGCCACTGCTGCTGTACTCACCAGCTGTGAGCCTGGCTTCTAGCTAAGCAGTCCTCCCCCTGTGGGTGCACACTGACCACCAGGGAGCAGCTACTGCATTGAGCGTCTGCCCCCTGGTTGTCAGTTCACGTCATGGCGACCAGTTGTTCTGCCTTTTAGTAGAGTTGCATATTAAGGTTTATTATATGGGAAGGATGAAAAACTATCAAACTGCTTTTCCAAAGTGGCTGCACCATATTACACCCGCACCAGCAATGTTTGAGAGTTCCAATTGCTTCATATGCTCCACAATATTAGTGAGTTAGGAGTTATTAGGTTTAGCTATTTTAATGGGTCTTAAAGTGGTCTCTACTATATCCTAAATGTACATTATATTTACCCTCCTGACAACTATTTCCTACTACAGCTTAATAATGATCTGTATAATGTCATCTCCTCTACAACACAAAAAGCTCCAAGATCATTTGTTTTCTCTCAGATGGTGCTCAGCCAACATTGGACACTCAATCGATTTAAGTTGAACAAGTGAATGAAAATTGACATTTGAAATGTTCACAATAACAAAATAATAACAATAATAAGACACTCCAAAGAAACCTGACTCTTTTCTGTATTTATTGTTTTTTCTCTATATTTCTGTGTTTCACATTGTATTGTGTTGTAAAATTTCTTCCATATTTAATTGACTGTTCATTTCCCTGAAATTGGACCTCAAGCAAGTAAATTGTGCTTACTATTCCTTAGGTATCTAAAGGTTCCATTCGTCAAGGGTTGCAGAAGAATATAAAGAGGTTCCAGCCCAACTGGCATGGCTCAGTGGTTGAGTGGCTACCTGTGAGCCAAAAGGTCCAGTGGGGTTTCTAGTCAGGGCACATGCCCAGGTTGCAGGCTCAGTCCTCAGTAGGGGGGGAGAGTGTGCAAGAAGCAGCCAACCTATGATTCTCTCTCGTCATTGATGTTTCTAACTCTTTCTCCCTTTTCCTTCCACTCTGAAATCAATAAAAATATATATATTTTTTAATAAAAAGAGGCCGAAACCGGTTTGGTTCAGTGGTAGAGCGTCGGTCTGCGGACTGAAAGGTCCCAGGTTCGATTCCGATCAAGGGCATGTACATTGGTTGCAGGCACATCCCCAGTTGGGGGTGTGCAAGAGACAGCAGGTCGATGTTTCTCTCTCATCGACGTTTCTAGCTCTCTATCCTTCTCTCCTCCTCTCTGCAAAAAATCAATAAAATATATTTTAAAAAATAAAATAAAAATAAAAAGAGGGTCTGTCCAAGAAGTTTACATTTTAATTGCCCGTGATCAGATGCATATATAGTATAGAAAAAATAAAATGTAGGAGCCCTGGATTCTAGATTCAGCCCTACCTGTCCCTGACACCAGAAGTGATGATTGCTGTTAACCCTCTGTTGTCTCCATTCACCTTTCTGAAACTATGTAACTCAATAATCACACTAGATGGTCTTCAAATTATAACTAGTCTTCCAGTTATAAGAAAATGTTCTGGCATTCGAATAACTTTGGAAATACCTATGAAATGCTTAGTAAACAGTGGTTACTATTACCTGTGTATGCCCTCTGTGTGTGTCATTAACTCATCAACAAATATATTCTGAGCACTTATGAATTAGACTCTGTGCCACATTCTATAGATACAAATTTTATTTATTTTTATTTTTTAAAAATATTTTTTTATTGATTTCAGAGAGGAAGGGAGAGGGAGAGATAGATAGAAACATCAATGACGAGAGAGAATCATTGATTGGCTGCCTCCCACACTGGGGATCGAGCCTGCACTAGGGATTGTGTTGTAAAATATACCCTGACCAGGAATCAAACAATAACCTCCTGGTTCATAGGTCGATGCTCAACCACTGAGCCACACTGACTGGGGCAAGTTTGTTTAGATAAACTCAAAACAAACTCAAACAGAAACAAGAAAATCAACATTTCCAGGATACTATGATTGGGTAAGCAGAGTGTTTTGGGAAGCTCAACCACTGAGCCCGCGCTGGGGACTGAGCCCACAGCCTTCCAACTAATCTTAAAAGAAATAAAATGAAAATAGAAGTTGAGAAGTAGCTACCCAAATAATACTACTCCTTGTAAGCACACAGCCTTTCTTTAAAAGATCTAAATAAAATATTATTTTCACTTAAAACCTTCCTTTTTCTAAATTCCTCTTAAAAAGAATAAGGAGATGAAGAAAGTGGGTAAGAACATTAGGGAACAAAATAGTGTAGGAAACATCTACATTCTTTCTTGATCGGTCACTCAAATATATTTGGGAGCACAAGTCTATTTTTAACTGGCAACAAGACTGAAATAGGTCATTTAAATACAAGAGACTGACTTCCTGACCTATTTGTTCATTATTTGTGATAACAGTGGAAACTTTGAGTGGACTTTGTTCTGATGTGGGATTTTATTTTCCACATGAAGTCTAAGAGACAAATCACCATACTGCTAGTTGGAAACCATACTTCAAATATCTGTCAAGAATGGCACTGGGCTAGGCACTAGAGTGGGGTCATTGGATGGCCTACCGAAGATAGATCACAAAAATCTCTTCTCAAAGCTGAAGGGGGATATGTACATGAATGCTCAGACCACCTTCATTCTTATTAGCTCATGCAGGAAAATTTGGTGCTTTGTTATTATCAAGGTGATAATTTCCTGTCAAAAAGATGAGTTCCATTGTGATAAGAAAGGCCATGAAAATATCACTGGGAGCCATTGCGTTTATGTGAAATTTCTTGCCCATGCTGCAAGGATCCACCAACCTGATATTTTCAAAAATAAAGTTTTCACCTTATGATAGACTGTTTTAAAAAATGTTTAAGATAAAAAAAATTATCCTGCCCTCAGTGGATAGATCGTTGACCTGTGAATTGAAGGGTCCAGGGTTCGATTCTGGCTAAGAGCATATGCCTGGGTTGCGAGCTTGATCCCCAGTGGGGGGCAT